GAGGCCTGAGTCTCCTCAAACTTCATGGCTTTAGAATGTCACTTTCATGTGCAGTGGGACTTTCCAGTGAGTGACAGGTTTTAAATTAGCAGAAATTGCCACATGTGGCTAAAATTCTAAGCATTAAGGAAAAGAAAACAGCTTATTATCAAGAAGGAAAAACGGTCTCCTTGCAGGGTTTCAGAAAACAAGAGGCCCAATAAAATGCAGAGAAAATTTTCTCATTTTTGGTGCATTTGAGACGAAAGACCTTAAATCAGAGAAATGTAAATGTACAGAGGAGCCGTGTTAATCTTCTATGATAAAAAAAAGATTGAAACCTGATCTAGGTTTCTCTCAGGTCTGTTCTCACTCTTGAGATGCTCAGGATGAAAACTGGTTTCTTTTTGTGATGTAGAAAATATTTCCTTTGCACCATTGTGGGCTAATTGCTTTGCATTGTCTTCTGTAATCAGCTTACCTTATGCTTCTAAACGTACAAATGCGCGAGGAGTCCAAAGCCCCTGCTATGGCCGAAGACATCAGCTCTGTCCCAACAACCTCCATACTTACCTCTGGCTCTGATCAGAGTTTTTTTTTTTTTGCATTTCAACTGTGTTCTTAGAGTCTCAGGACCATCCGGAATTTGACACGCCAAAAGCCGGCTCTCCTTCTTCTGCCTTATTTCCATTATAGCAGTTATCTGGACCTCCCTTCCTTCTCACCTGAATGTCTGCAGTTGTTTCCTAGTGGCTCTCCCTGCTCCCCTTCCCTCCTCACCCCTCCACCAAATCCACACACCGCATTCAAACTGAGCTAGATGCTCATCCAGAGCCCGCCCTGAGCCTGACAGTCTGAGCTCTCCACCACACTCAGGATAAATTGCAAAGCCCCTCCCGTGACCCACAGGGTTTGGCATAGTGCAATCCTGTTCACTTCTCCAACATTACCTCAGCTCCCTCCTCCTCTGCCACGACAGCCTGCTAATGGTTTCTGGGACACTCCCAGCCTTCCCCACCGCCCGCACGGGCCTTACTTGCCTGGGCTGGCCTACTCACACAGCATCTCTCTCTTTCTACCTAACTCTTCCTCATCCTCCATATTTCTAGACACCTTGCCTCCTCCCTCACCCTTATTATTCTCTGTAGCACTTAATGTGATTTGTGGGCATGTTATTTGCCTCTTTTCTTACTATTTAACTTGTAATTTACCAACCCATCTCCACTCCTCAGTCTACAGCTGCTTTCTTCCATGAAGGCAGGAAGAAGGCTTGTTTGGTTTACAACCATCTGTACATAACAGGTCCTAATTTTTAATATAACAATAAGAAAATCTGTTTTGTTTTTGTTTTTCCTTTTGATTCAGGTCACTTATTCGAGTTTTTCTCAAACAGTTGTTGAAAGACCTTTCATGTTCTTGCTCAGATGTAGATATAATTCCTCTGTGCAAAAGTAGAAATCAGCAGTAACTGTGGTCTTAAAGAATCTCCCATCTGAGTCTCATCTTGTATTGTGTCTGGGAGAGCTGTTTCAGAGCCCAGGGAAGGGAAAAGGGAGCTTCAGGGATTAGGTGCCATTCTAATTCATTTCTGGCTCTCTTTGTTATACTTTTGTTATAATTAATCCTCTATGAAAACAATAGGGCAGAGTGAAAATTATATCGGGAGAAAGACTTATGGTGGCCAGCTTTGGGAAACTCAAACACTACTTAGCTTTAGAACATTAGTTTATGCGAAAAATGTGTTTGAAATTCAGACAACCTACATGACCCCCCATCCCATCACTAAGAACTAAAAAACCTAAATGCACAACTTTCCTGTTTTGCATTTTACATGAATTTGTAAAAATGGTGAGTCCTCACTAGCTGCAGCCTCCCTGGCTGCCTGGTTAATTCTCGGTCCTGGTTAACATGTGCTGGACAACATGGGGAATCCCTAGAAGATAATTTATTCACAAAAGGATTGTGTTTATTTGCCTGGGGCAGAGCCAGGAAACCCTTATTTTCCAGTCCATGTTAGGAAGGGACTTCCTGTCCATGAGCAAAGTACAACATGGAACCAGTCTTCTGCCCTTCCCCAAGCTCCAGTAGGAGGAATGGCCAAACTCTAGGATGATTTCAGAGGTTTTGGACCACCTGATGGTGAGATTAGAAGTCACGGAACAACAAATGAGCAGATGGGGAGCATGTCCTCCTCCGAGCCCCCTTGCTTGGGGATGAGGTGCCACTAGGAAGCTAGGGCTTCCTTTCCTCTTCCTCTCTGTGCTCGTGTCAGGATGTGGCTGGCATGAAGTGGATGTCTGTCCAGTCTCTCATCTCCTCAGATTAAGCAGGCCAGGCACTGACAGCGGTGCCAGTCCATTTGAGACAGGCGTCTTTACCCTTGCTTCCAATTTTTTTTCCTGTAGCTTACTGATTGGTGGATTAGTCAGACTTTTATGGGCCCCATAGATCAGGGACAACACAATGAAGTTTTGAGTCACCTTCAGTCCAGTTACTCAGAAAACTAAATATTTAAGATCCTTGAATATTTGTTTCTTTTTTGGAGTACTAGGGATTGAACCTCACTGAGTTATATTCCTTGCCTTTTTTAAAGAAAGTCTTGCTAACTCTGAATTGCGCAGATGTAGGCTCAATCTTGCGATCCTCCTGCTTCAGCCTCAGGAGTGTTGGGAATATAGAGTGTACTACCACGCCAGGCCTGACTGGTTCTTTATTTCTGTCTTCCACCAGAGCAAGGCTCCCTTCCTCCTTCCCGCCTCTCTCAACTTTCAGTCATTTGGATTGTAGTTTAAACTGTGCTTCTTTCATAAATAACTTTGCCATATGGATGTAAAACATGTTTGTGAAAATAAATCTCACGCTGGAATTAGAAAGTTATAAACCAAATATTTGTCTTGTCTGCAAAACCAATATTAAAACAAAGCCTTAGTACAGTCTGGAGTTTTCAAGGAAATTTAGGCAAACCCTGTCAGGAGTTTTATATGGAATAGTTTTATCACTGATTCAGATCAATCCAATGGACACCAATGGATCTTATCTCTGAAGCTAGGATTTCTGATCTTTATCTCTGTCATCATTCTAAATAGTTTAAAATTATTCCATCCTACCATGAAGGCAATCAGGAGAGTCTCGGAGCTCAGGAGAGTCTTAGAGCTGGACCTGCAAAGCAGATGTCCAGCTCTCAGACCTTCCCTCTTCTGTCCCAAACAGCTGGAGGTGATGGCCTTTCCCTCCTGATGGATTCTCAGGAGAACTCACCCATGACTTTTGGAGGGAAAGTCTTTTTCATATCTCTGTGCCTAAGTTGTCCCAACTGATTCTCAAGCAGGACTTCTGACCAGAGATTAGACAAAGCAGAGTAAGGATAAATAAAGTTGTTGCATCAAGAAAAACTGGATTTTATTTGCAACTAGAACAGAGAGCAAAGTTAGATTTAAACTTTCCTATTAAAATACAAGTTCAGAAATTTTGAGCAATCTGTGTGGGATCTGTAGGGTTTGGGAAGGTATCATATATATATCATATTTTTGTATTTTATGCTTTTCTAAAAAAAGTAAAAGAGATTTGCTTTTGAGGTCAAACTACCTCTTCTAGGTCTTTGTACAGAACTTCAGGGCTAAATATTATGCCTCCTGGGATAGTCATGGAGGAGAGAAGCAAGCTGTTGTCTGTTTGAGAAGGCTATAGCTTCCCCCAGGACTCATTGCCAGCCCTGAGGCCGCTGTCAACACTTAGTAAATCAATAAAAACAGGAACAATAAACATCTGAGATGAGAAAAACAATGGGAGGAGTATTTCTGACTTTTTACACATCAGGAGAAAGTTCATGGAGTCATTTTAGATTTGGGGGGAAAAAAACCTCCAAGATACCATAATGGCAGCCATTGCTATTTTCAGTGAACAAAAGCCTGTAAACTTTATTTTGAAAAAAAAATCTGGCCTATTCCACTGATTAATTGATTGGGTCATGTTGATTTTCAAATGCAGTGAAACAGTAATCAGAAAACAGAGGAGCATTTCATTTTAAATACAGTCCTCTAAACCGGTTCAGACAGCTGGGCTCCATTTTGTGTTTGTTTTTTCAAACAGATTCTTCGTGTGCTAAACCAGATCCAGCTGCATATACTAATTGCATTTCAGAGACTGGGTTGGATGTTGTGTTTCTGGAAAGTCTTATTTAAAAGCAAAATGGGTGCCTAAACTTCACTGTGGTTGTGTTATGAGCTTGGTCAGGGTTTTGCTTTGCTGGGCGACAGCATTCAGCTGGGGAAGCTGAGCCTGGGCTTCTGTCTGGGCCTGTCGTGCAGTCACAGGCAGAACAGTGATGCCCAGACTCCCCTTAGTGACTCTCAGATGGGCGGTGCCCTTCCCCTCATCACTTGCTTATATCCACATGTGCAGGCAAGTATTTTGAAATATCAAGAGAATTTTTTTGTTTAAAAATTATAGAGTCTAACATTCTCAGTGAAAAGTCTTAAACAAGTATTGAAAAAACTCTCAAGTATATAGTATAAGTCTACCTGCTCTTTTGAACCCAGTAAACACACACACACACAGATTATGTGCTTATTCTGTATCTCTGGGGATTATCTGCATCTGTATCTATCATCTCTATCTTTCTACTTACCTATGTCACAATTATTTGCAATTTGTATTCATTATCTAACATTGCATAATCAATCACTAAAAATTAGAGTCTTAACATAACAGGAATCATTGAATGTCTCATAATATTCTATGAATCAAGCATCAGAGAGTAGAAGGGTTCCGGCTGGGGGGACTTTTACAGGGCATGGCCAGGTGTTGGCTGATGCAGTTTCTTGATGGTGTGACAGGAGCAGGACATTCTACTGCCCAGGTGATTTGTATGGTGCTGGCTATTGCAGGCCTCCATTCCTCCTCACTGGACCTTTCCACTAACACCTGAATTTCCTCTCAGGTTGGTACCTGGCTTCCCTGGAGGGGGTTGCAGGAGTGTAAAGTGAGAGGTACAAAGCCATTATGACCTCATCTTGGAAATCACAATCACCACTTCCACCACTTTTTACTGGAGAAGTAGGCTGGCCCAGATTCAGCAAGGGAGGAAGAAGGGCATAAGCACCAGAAAATGGGTGCAACTTGCAGGCCATGTTGAATGATACCAAACACACAACACTGGGTAAGCGGTGGAGGGTATTTCTCTACTCCTTGAATCTGGGCAAAGCTTATAACTGTTCTGATGGATAGAAATGGATTAAGAAGACATTGTGGGAACTCAAGCCAAGACCTCAAGAGGATTTGCCTTTTCTACTCTCCCTCATTTAGATGCAGCTGGTACATGAAAAAATCTGGATTTGACTCCTTGAGAGGAGAGATCAGGTAGAGAGAGACAAGGTAGGGAGAGCTATTTCCTCTTTCCTTCTTAGCAATTTATGTAATTGCATCCAGCCAACACTACATCTAGCAGAGAGTTTTCCTGGCTGGGCCCAACTCAAATTTCACAAAGAATCACGAACAAATAAATGATGGTCACTATGAGGCACATGAGATTTCTTGGGGGATTGTTACTCAGCAGCTGAGAACTGATAAAATAGGATAAACAGTGGCTATACTGTTTTGTTTTTAAACTCATCTATATTCTATGGGCAGCCCTTTTATGTCACTATATATAGGTATCCCTCATCTTTTAAAAAATGTTCCAGTGTGGAAAGTTTATAGTATAAAAATGCCGTGGTTATTTATCATATTTGCTATTAATGGACATTTAAATTGCCTCCAATAGTATTTCTAATGCAAGTAAATCTTCATGATCATTGTCTATTTTTTACATTAGTAAAAGTGACATTTCTGGGTCAAAGGGCTTATATATGCCTTTAAATACATTACATGTTAAATTGTACTTCGAAATGGTTGTACCAACTTCCACCCCACTAACAGTGCATCTAGTTTTAAAGAAAAATCCCAACAATTCATCTTTGTCTTCTTCCAAAATTTGCCTTAGTTTGAAGTTGGGGGATTGGGAGACAGCTGAGAAGGTAAAGGACTGTGTGAAATTGGTATCGTTTTTTAAGCTGTCAAGAGCCACACCAGGCCAACTCTGTGAAAATCAGGCGAGTGGGTAATAAGGAGATGCAAGCTGGTCAGAGGTTGGCTCCTCTCGCAAAATTCAAAGACTTTTTCTGTTTCTGAGAGATTTTGTGGAAATAGATTTAAACAGACAAGGCTACCAACTAAAAGCTTTTGTTTAAAAAACAAACAACAGTATGACAATAATCAGCATTAAGAAACAACAGTGGTGGTCAGGATCTTATAAAAATTTAATAACAATGCTTTAAATCTAACTGATCAGTTATTTTAGCCTGAGCATTTGGATTGTTCTCAGCACATAGAGGCCCCTGTGACTTTAGATGTGCCAATAATAATGATGCCTAACACTTGCTAAGTGACAGACACTACTAAAAGGGTTTTGTGTGTGGTATTGCATTTAATTCACACAACAGAGACACTAAAGGGTTGGAGACATTGAACTACTTGGTCGTGTCATGATGACAGTGATAATAACTAGAAAGCTCTACCTTCTATTTATTGTCTTGATTCCCAGTTTAGAAAATGTCAGTCTGCTCTTGACAATAGTTATAAACAGCAAACGCAGTACCTCAGTGAACTTTGTCTAAATAAGACCAAGCATTAGTATTTGAATGCAATGGAGGTTACCAGGCGACCAAGGAACTCAGATCTGTGTCCCTGCAGCTTTCCAGTGAAGGAGAAAGTTCAAGGTCAGCCTTGTGCTAATTTTGGAATCGTAGAGCAGGACACAAGCCAACCAAAGACAAGCAAACACTATGAGTAAACAATGCCACACCAGCTGCTTTGGACAGGGCCAAACATGTGGCAGGTGACAGGAGACAAGATTTCTTCCCAGACATTTGTTATGTTTTATAATCTTTTGTTCTTAGAGGACAAAAGTGAGATTGGCCAGAATTTTGGAACAGTATGTTTATTTGCTGGATCATTTATTTCAAAGTCTCTTTATATTAGTCTTCTCACATTAAAAATTAAAGCACCCTCACTAAAGACAACTCCTAGCTGTTCAGAAGTGCATATAGGAAAAGTGTAAGTCCCCTGGCTCAGGTACCCTCCCACCGTGACTGTCCCAGCCCACTTTCCAAAGTAATCACTTTGGTCATTTGGTGTTTATCCTCCCAAACATTTTTCTTCTGTGCACGCAACTGAACAGACTATTTTAAAAGAAAAATCTATCTTGCATTGCAAAGATGATATGATATATGATATGATATTGATAGTGTATTTGTTACTACTCAAGAACATCTCAGAAGGATATGAGGTAAGAGATGGTGTTATGCTTGGAATTTCCTGTTTGTGTTTGTGTATTCTGACCTCCACACCTCATTTGAATTAATTTAAATTTATATAGCCATACTGGACATTTTGGATGAGTGGTCTAGCGTCTAGTGGTCCATTTTGGACTGTGTGGTCAGACCAGCCTGAGTAGAAATCTGCTGAGGAGCATGATGCTGCCGCACTCCTGTGCAGGTCTCCTTTCCGATGCTCCCACCCTGAAAATGACCTTATATAGCCAGTGATTTTTTTTTTTTAAATACCACATTCCTGGAAGTTAGGATAGAAAAGGAGAATTCTGGTGGTCGTCTGCTGCTGTCTTCCTTTAGGAATGAAGTAAAATACAAATTTTTGGTAGCTGTAGATTGCACAGTTGAGTCTCTGCATTCATGAAGACAATCACATAATCAGATTCTGCTTGATGGCCAAGCATTGACTGGTAAAAGACCTTCAAAGGAGAAAATTTCCAGTTTCCCCTCATCCCCTAAGACCAACATTAAATTGGCCTTAACCTAAATTACACAAGGAGATTTTGATTCATGTCCATTTCCTGGTCCCTACTGTGGAGAAACTGGTCATCTTTTCTTTTTCTGCCATTTTTCTCCTTTGTCCTTCCTTCCTCCATTCACTAGGAATTGAAACCAGGTCCTTGTGTATTGTAAGCACGTGATCTGCAACTGAACCAAACCCTCTGCCTCCATTTCTCTTTTTGGATAGTGTTTAAATAAGCCTCAGTAAATGTCCGTATTTGTTTTATGAGCTTCTTATACTAGTTTCTGGGTAATCACAATCAGCTATAATGCCCAAAAAAGGCAGCCAGAAAATAGCTAGAAATGTTGAAGATGATTCTGTATGGAGACAGGAGGAATCAGGGATTCTTTTCTTACAACCAGGAAGGGTATGATTTGTAATTTCTACCTTCACATCCCAAGCTGGGTATGTACCATTATCTCCCATCTCTCCTCATACGGTTTGTGTGATCAGAGACCACTGTTTTATACACAGGATCATGTGTAAACTCCAAGCACCCTTGAGGAGACAATCACACTTTAAAACTAGTAGATAAATATAGTGGTTTCTTGTTTTCAAAGTGAAAATAGCAACAAAAATATTTTTCTGGTGAAAAAACTAATTATAGCTCTTATTAAAGAATAAAACAGAAATGTTGAAAGCAAAAATCACCAGTCTTAACCTAAAGCTCACAATTAATAATGTTTTTGTGACTGTTTTTCAGATGTTTTCTGCGTGTAAACACAAACACATCACTTCATTCTTAGGCTTCCAACATCTGGAAGGGTGTGAAGACAAAACTCATTTCCAGAAAACAAGAGTGACACGAGCGTAGAGGATGGTGAAGAGCACTGCCTTTCCTGCAGAATTCCATCTTGGAGCAAACACCCCAACACCTTCCCTTGTTTACCTTTCTCTTTTGCTAGAGTCTTTTCTGCAGCCTGTCCATTCCTCTGTGGGAGAACAGAGGCTCGGGACACTGTCCCATCTTATCCTGAGAGGATTCCTCTCCTGAAGCAGAGAGGAGGCTCTTATGTTCAGTAGTGAGTGCTAGTACTCACCATTAGGTTCACATTGAGGGCCAAAGCTCTGACCAACTCAGTACTCATGTGTCAGCTTTCTGTTTCCATGACAAAATACCTGAGACAACAATTTAAAGAAGGAAAGATTTGTTTTGATTTACACAGATTCAGATGTTTCAGGCCATGATTGTTTGGTTCTGTTGTTTTGTGGCCTGTAGCAAAATAGAACATCATGTGGGGAGCAGAGCTCATGACAGCTGGGAAGCAAAAAGAGAGAAAAAAGGGTACAGAGTCCCAATATGTGCTTCAAGGACATATACCAGGTGACCTAATCTCTCTCCACTAGGTCCCATAACCTCCCAGTGGCACCACTGGCCGGGACCAGGCCTTCCATGCTTGGGCCTTTGGGAGACATTAAGGATCCAAACTCCAGCAACACCTGCTTCCATTCTCTGCTAGAGACCTACACAGAGAAGGGACAGGGACTCATTTAACATTCTGAGGAGAGGAAAGGACATCAACAGAACTTGATTTCCATCACCACTTTCGATGTTCAGGACAGTCTCCCACCCAAGAAATTCCCTTTAAGACTCGGTATTTTCATCTTTAATATGGGAATAGTAACATCTTTTTCACAGCCCAAACAATCTTGGGCTGAAACATCTGAATCTGTAAGTCAAAATCACATCTTATCTGAGATGAGATACCTGTATCTGTTTAAAGAAGACCAAGAGTGAAACATATTCCTTTGACAGCTGGCTGACTCCCACTCCTCCCGAAACCTTTAAAAGTATCAATACCCTGATTTCGAAGATCTGGTCCTTAGCTTTGTAAGTGCAGAATTTAGTTTCTTAGTTCACTTACAAAAAGCCTTAGAGGATGTGTAGAGTGACTCACTAAAGACTGAAAATACTAACTACAATGCAATGTGTGTACTCTGGTTTCTCTTCAGATCGCGCAAGTCTTTTGCCTTTTAGAATGCAATTTTGTAAACAATAAGGACCATAATTTCTCTTGCTAATTGGAGAATCTGCGGAGGAGGTCAGTTATAGACAGGACATTCCTGGATGAGCTCCAAACAGAGCCAGGAATTTGCTGAGTGATCTTAGAGGTTAATGTTATCTGACATGACAGCCCCAGGGAGCAAGTGCTGCTTCAGTTACTGGAAGTGGAGTTCGTGGATCAAGGCGGCCCTTTTCTACAGCGTCCAGATGAGCATAGCCTGGCTCTCCTTCCACGTCCCCTCTTGACTGCCAGGGCAGTGCTCGGACGTGAACAAGTGAGCATTTCTCATTAGGGGGCAGCAGCGCTTCTACTGAAATCCTTGTAGCTAGAGCCCCAATGCTATGGGGAGTTAGTAAGTGTTATGATTTAAAAAGGTGTCACAGTTACAAAAGTTAAAAAACACTGAATTACATAGAGGCTTTGGATGTAGACCCTGTCCACCCTGCTCCCCACGGCATTGTGGAGTCTTACAAATGAGCTCTTACTACATCCCTGTGGAGCAAAGGCTACCTAATGCCTCTCTGTCCAGTTTCTCTTCTGTGAATTGGAGCTAAAAGTGATGAGCGACAAATGAGCTGATGCAGGCAGATTGCTGGCATGTATAGAGCATCATGTGTTAGTCATCATCTCTGGGAAACTGAATTTGTATTTATTACTTTCACACCTGGGCATACTTTACTACATATGTGTGCATCTATAAACACAGTATTATTTTGTGTATTTCAAACTTGGATGAAATAGAATCATACCAGATCCACCAATTTAAAACTTAATTTCCCCTTTACTGTTAGGCATGTAAAATTCATCCACACTGATGTTTACATTTCCAGTTTATTGATTATTATTGCTGTGTAAGTTTCCACTAACCTGGAAATACAATTTGCCTTTCATGTTCAAAGTCTTGGATTCTATCCCAAATATTGGGAAAAAATCCATTGTATAAATAACATAATTAACTGTTCTCCTTTATTGGGCATTTGTGTTATTCCTAGTCTTTGCTCTTAAAAATAATTACATTACAATTATCATTGTGCATGTCTCCTTCTAGACTTTGTATATATCTTCTTGGATAAATTTTGTGGGGTTTTTCCTCGGTTGAATTCTCACAGAGTAATCTTATTATTAAGTTCTTATGGGGATAATGCAGATCACATACCACACTAAAAACACAATGCCTGGCTCAGAAAAGAAACCCAATAATTTGATAATTTCTGTTTCATTATTCTAGTGAAAGAATAAACTGTAATGAGACCAGGAAGTGGCAAAACTCAGCAGGTTGGTCTATAAAACAGCCTATGACCTAAAGCAAGCTGTTTTTTCTTTGGTCCTCAATTTGGAAAATGAGTGGTCATCTCTCAGGTCTACACCAGACTTTGTAATCGTTCATATTTATATCATATAGGATCTAGAGAAGCAGTGAATAACACTTGATTGAAATGAAGCCAGTGTGACAAAATGTACTTTTTTTATGACCATTTTTAAATTCATGATATACATGTTTGCAGTACATAATATTTATATTCATTTTAGAGAGTGATTACATATAGTTAACATATCTTAATTCTTTTTATTCCCCTTCCCTTCCTTTCCTACATCTCGAGACTTTTCTTCACATTTGCTGAAGATCTGTCTCCTTGTCCTGCTGTTCCTGAAGTGCTGAATCAGTGTGTTCCCTCCGAGGAGTGGATGAAGAAGAGACTAAGATAAGGCTTTTGGGAAACCTTAAAGCAACAGAGAAAGTACCCCCAAAGCACAAACTGGCTAGGTTATGATAGGAATGGCAGGAAATTGCACAATTTTGTAGGCCGTGCTAATAGATGAAGACATTCCACTTTCAAGAGACACAAAGCAGGGGTCCAGAGCCAGTTATTGCTCAGACAGAAATAATGTAGGAAGTCAACAAGCTCTGAACGTCCTCTCCTCCACTGTTCTGCTGTTGTTGAGAATTTAAAAAACTAGAACAGAGGTTATCACTCCTACCAGCAGACAAAATGTCCTAATGTCTCCATGGGAACAGTTTTTTTCTATGACCCTGCATTCTCCTCTAATTACCCTGAATGCTGGTTACATCAACCCCTCATGTATTTATCTCCTGAAGAGAGGAGAGTGTGGCTTTTGGTATAACACTGCTTCCAGATCTCCTATGGATGCCGTAAAGGATCTCTCCGTGTAAGACTGCACCAAATTCTTCCATGGCAGCACTGAGTGGAAACAACACTGTGATGAAGTGAAGAGCTACCAAGGAGAGAAAGGTCATTCAAAATAATAAAGATATGGGCAGGATAAGGGTTTTTTTTTTCTTAAATTTTAAAGAGATAAAACAAAATAAAATCAATCAAGCCAGTGTAAAACATACAGGACTTTGAAACATTATGAGATCAATAATAACTATCATAATGCCTGCTGGTGTCTTCAAAATAGCTGCAGATAACTTCAGATATAGTGAAAACCAAACAATACAATAGAAAAAATAAAAACAAAACAATGAATGCAATAAAAGTCTTCAAAACAAGCCAATAGTAAATCCAAAGTTGCTACTATAACATATCTCGCTATCTTTGAAATAGCTGCTCCTGCCATTGGATTTGACATAATGAAATAAAAGAGAATAAAACCCAACCCAACAAAACAATGGAAATGATACAGGACTTCCAAAACAAGACCATAGGGAATCAGCAATAGCTGCAGCCCTCAGGAGATTCCCCCCTAGATGCCACACTGCATACTGCTATCCTCTAAATTTATGATCAGACTACTGGCCCTAGACCTGCAAAGTTAGTGAAACACCAAAGCACCACAGGCATCCAATTGCATATCAGCTAGATAGCTATCATCACAGCCTGTGTTTCTCCAGATAAGCTAATTGCTTACGGTAGGGTGTGTGTGTGTATGTGTGTGTGTACTTCTTGTTTGCCAGCCTGTGGGCTGGAAGGGTCTGGGGTCTTTTTGTTCCTGTCAATGGTGGCTTGTGCACGGTGCTGCTTCCTAGACTGTGCTTGCTTGTTGGTGAGGCTTTTTCCAGGAGAGGTTTATATCAGAAAACAGAACATTTCCATCTGGAGCAGAAACTACTAATTGTAAGGTTTTTCTTCTTCTTCTTCTGAATAGACATTTAAGTCAGGTTAATGAAAATTCAGCCAAGAAATCTATTTTCCAGGCTGCTTTGCAGTTAGCTGTGGCCATGTGATTAGGATCTGGTCAATGAAATTTGATTGGAAATGGTGCATACAAATTTCTTGTTGGCCTTCAAGGGAAGAAGTGTGTTCTTACTGTCTTCTTCCCTGCCTGATGGTTGGAATGTGGATATGATGGTGGCAGTTAGAGCAACTCTTGTATGTCAGTGAATGAATTGTGTTCCTATATTTAAGCTTGTATGTTGAAGCACCAACTCCCACTACAGCTGTATTTGAAAATAGGATGTGATAGGTGAGGTTAAATGAGGTCACAAGGGTGGGGCCTTCACCCAGTTGGGTTGGTGCCTTATAAGGAGAGGAGGAGCAGGTGCCAGGAGTGTACACACTGGGAAGAGAGCCCTCTTCAGAAACATTTGGCCTTAGACATTCAGCCTCTAGAACTGTGAGAAAATAAATTTTTGTTGGTTAAGCCACCAAGTCTGTGGTTTTCTGTTACAACAAACATGATATAAAGTCACATGTGAGTATGAAAGGACAAAATTAGAATGAGCTTGGGCTTATGATGGCTATGCAGTTGCCATGCAAGCCCTAGACCACTTTCCTTAATGTCAAGAGACTGCAGAATCTTCTACCAAGTTACTGTCATTTGGTGGTCTTTACTAATGCATCCAAAAATCATACAATAGTGCTTATGGGTAAATTGAGGATGGTAACTCAAGGAGAAGCATCTTACCATGTTTGTAATTGGCTATAATGTTTGATTTAACTACGTGGTAATGCCACTTAATCTATCCGTAATGAAGTAAATTACTGTTAAACATCCTTTTTTTGTCTTGCAACCCAGGAACGATCCCTAACTGGATACTGATTGCATGAACAATGATTTGAGCCAAGATGATCTCCATTAAATATATGCTTTTGTCTTTCATTTGATAGGAAACAGACGGTACCAGGGATTCAGAATGTCTTCCCAGAAAAGGACAGATGATATAGTTGGGGTTTGAGCTATCTCCCCATGACTAGCCTATGCACTGCAGTGCTACTGAGAGGTAGTGGAACCCCTGGGAAATGGGTCTAATAAAGGAAGTAAGGTCATTAGGAGACTTCAAGGTCATTTCCTTTGAAGGCAATATCAGGTCTCAGTCCCGGCCACCATGCTTTGCTTCCTGGCCACCATGAGAAACAGGTCTTTTCTGTCTCACTTTCCCACTGTGATATACTGTGTTGTCACAGACCTAAAGCAATACAGTCAAGTGACCATGGACTGAAACCTCTGATTCTGGAAGCCAAAATAAACCTTTCTTCTTTCTAATTTGATTATCTCAGGTATTTTGCTTTAGTAAGAGAAAGTTGACTAATAGCTGTGAAACTAAAATCATGATTTACAACTCATCTTCAAAAACAGCAGAAAAAGGAATGTGAGAGGGTGGGAAAGATTTCATAGGGAATTTAAATTCATTATACTGGTTGGTTATCTTTGGTAAAGAACTCGGGGCTTAAATGTGTTCCTTTCTTTGCTTAAACTCTGTAGAAACAGACTCTAAAACATCCTTAAAATGTCTTAAAAGCAACAAAGTTAATGTTATTGAAATAATTTTTCAAAGTTGATGGAAGGGATATGGCGAGATAACTCACGTCTGGATGCATGGAAACCCTCCTATATCACGACTCTGAGGTCGCCTTGGCAGCCTGCGAGGTATTTACACAGAGCACATGTGTGTGTACAGTGCACTTTCAGGCTCTGTGCTC